TTGGGGGATGGGGGGGTTGGGTTCGGGACATGCAGTAAGGGGAGGAGTGCAAGGATACTGAAGACAGTGTGCTCTGTTCCTTTGCTTAGAGCAAATTCAGACTCATGGGTAAACTGAGGCCTTGCATGGTGCATCCAAAGGCGATTCCTCCATAAAGTATAACCTCCTGTTTTGTGACTTGAGGCTGGGAGACAGATTTTCTAAGAAAGCATCATGGTATGTAGGTGTTTTAGCTCAGAGCCTGAGTGACTGCATTTCCCTTTCCTTTCAGATATTGCTCCTGTATAATATATGTCATCATACATATTATTATGTGTGAGTCCTTTTTATTAACTGCATTTTAAAATGACTATTACTAGAAAAAATTTCAACTGTTTCTTAGTCTTAGAAAGTTATGGTAGGACATAAATTATTGATAGTTTCTGTTATATTATTATCTGGGTCACATCCTGGTCTATATTTGGAAGCTTACCTTTTTTTTTCTCTTGCAGAAATACTGTCTGTGTTTCCAGAAACTGGGAGCCTTGGGGGAAAAACAGACATCACAATTACAGGAGACTTCTTTGACATCCCTGCCCAGGTTACCATTGCAGGTAACTTAGTTGAAATGGCTGAAAATAGTTCACAGTTTTAAATGCTGTTGGAGATTATGTGTCTCTTAGGGCATGGAGAGGGTATGGGGGAAGCAATCTTTGTCTCTTCTGACTCATTGTGCCACCCCGCTCTCATATTATACCTGAGTTTGGTTGAGATCATGGTCCTGCAGCTCTGCTACACGTAACAGGAATAGGATGTCCTCAGACACACTCACAATTCATGGGCAATTCCCTTGTGTGTCCCCATCTTGGGAATGAAGGGAGGGAAAACGTATAGCTGCCTCTTCACAAAGGTCTGCACCTACAATAGGCAACCCCTCCCCTTCTCCCCACTTAGCCCTCTCTGTGTGGACAGGCTGGAGTGGGCAGGAAATTGCTCTGCAGATTGTTCTGGAATGCCCTATGGCAAACCCATGTGCGGAACCTATCCAGAACCTTCAGTTATGCCAGGTGGATGCTCCTCTAGGTGGTGACACCAAGATGCAGGAAAATGCCCTTACACTCTCACATCACACATACCTCCCCAAGCTCAGCTGAGGGGTTCAGTACACCCTCAGTGGATGGCACTGCGTTGCTTTCTTTCAGATTTTATAAGCTGCCCTATGCTCTACGCCCTGTACTCTCCCTTTCCCGGCCTCCTTCAGCGGGGGTGACAAGTTTTGCTATACTATTTACATTCAGCCCTGTGCCTTAGAATAGGAGCCTGACTACTTCAGTGTGGTCCTGTTGTCTTGCCATCAAATTCTATGTATATGTCTCTATTTCTCTATATATCCATATCTATACCTATACCTATATCTAATTTAAAAAATTCTCCTCAGGCATTCCATGTGATGTTAGACACGTGTCTCCCACGAGGATTGCGTGCACCACTAGGGCCCCTGGAGAAGGTGCAAGGCTCACTGCTCCTCAGGCAGGTAAGGAGGCCACCCGGGCTGGTCAGTGACCTTCGGTTACATTTTCACCAGGATGGGCTTGGAAGTAGAAATGAAAGTGTTGGCGTTCTGTCTCAGCTTTTGACTGGTTAGCTCAGTGAGCTCTGGGTCCATGATACCACCGTCAGGGCTTTCCTCTCAGAGTGGCTCTTAGCTTTATTCAGATGCTCATCAACATTGCACTCCTGGCCCCAGCCAGATGGACGGCCAGTGGGGTTCAGTGGAGACCATGATCCCGGAAGCATAGCTTCAATCAAGTCATTGTTATCCGGGAGCATTAGAGCACGCTCATAACAGCAGCATCAGAAAAGGCCAGAGAGTGGGGCACAGCGAGGTGCACTTAAATGGTGTTTCTTCTCTGAGGCACCTGCCTGCGACTGAAAAGTAGGGCTGTGCTGTGCCATCACCACCAGTTTATGGTTGAAGTGGGCAGAAATGGAGAAGGCGAGGTCCCACCTGTCCTCTGTTTAAAGCTTCCACCTCATGGCTACAAATGGAAAGCACACAACTGGGGCACTTTTCTGGGAAGCATTAGGACTGGAGGCTCAAGTGTAGCTAGGGATGGGGGCAGCTGGTGTCTTACGCAGCCCGGAATGGCAAGCTGCCGCCTGTATTGCTCACCTGCCCCGCATGGGCTGATTTCCTGGTTAAACTCCCGGCAGTGGACTCACTTCCAGGATCTCAGCACTCAGAAGGCAGAAGGTGGAGAAACCTTTCTAAAGAAAGGCCATTTGGGTGTGAAAATGCATGCAAAGCTTTGGCTGGGGCCTTCTCCAGGTCCCAGATCTGCAGTTTGTACTCAGGGAAAGCTCCCACCCAAGGAAACCACCAAAGCAGGTGCTGGAGAGAATGTGTCCTTTGTCAGGAAATGGAGAACTGTCCCCTCTTAGCTGCTTGGGTAATGGTAGGATAATTTCCTGAATGCAGCTGTTTTTGAGGATCAACAGTGCCCTTTATGAAGATGCTTGGAAGTTTCTTCTGTGGAAGAAGAGCAGACTATTATGGAATGCAGCGGTTCTCAATGGTCCGCAGGGGACATTTGGTAACGCCTGGCAGTTACAACTGGGAAGGTGGTGGTGGTGCTACTGGCCTCTAGTGGCTGGAGTCCAGAGGTGCCACTAAACATCCTTCAATGCACAGGACAGCCTACACCAGTGATGGCGAACCTATGACATGCGTGTCAGAGGTGACACGCGAACTCATTTTTTTGGTTGATTTTTCTTTGTTAAATGGCATTTAAATATATAAAATAAATATCAAAAATATAAATCTTTGTTTTACTATGGTTGCAAATATCAAAAAATTTCTATATGTGACACGGCACCAGAGTTAAGTTAGGGTTTTTCAAAATGCTGACACACCGAGCTCAAAAGGTTCGCCATCACTGGCCTACACCCAGTTATCCAGCCCAAAGTGTCAATAGTGCTGAGGTTGAGAAACCTCAAGTAATGTATCAAAATATGCTCTTATTTTTCTACTTATTCCTTATCATTTCCCCTTTTAAGGATTAATGAGGAGTAGTAGTAGTAGTTTAAAATAATAATTACTATCACTGTCCTTTATTGAGTACTTAGTATATTTAGACTCTTTGTGTATGTAGTTCAAGCACTCTTAGTTTTTTTTTGGCCAGAATTGTCAAATTTACCCAGTTTTCCCCTAAGCTTTATTAAGATATAATTGACATATAACTCAAGCTTCATTAGTCTTTTCTGCATTATCTCTATTTATTATTGGCCTCATCCATGAGAAAATGAAGGCATCAAGCAGTTTGCTCAAAGCTACACATTTAATAAGCGACAGAGCTGGCATCTGAACCCACAAATATGTGATTCCCGAGCCTTGACCCTCAATCCAAGTTTGTATCCAATATTGATTACACATGGGCCTTTGGTCTCAGGGTTCGCTTAAAATAAAACACAAATTAATGAGTACAACATCATTGAAAATGTCTCTTAATAGCTGCATGTCACATGATTTGTTCTATGTGCAGATTCACAAACTGAGGCCATGACATGAGAAAAATGTAAGGGTTGCCAATTTTCTGAGGAATAAAAAGATCTCAGGGAATACAACTCCCAAGCTGGATTGGACATTAAAAGATGCTGAATCCACTCCTCAACAGTCAAGTCCCAAGTACATGATCACATCTTCCCCTTTACTCCACCACAGTTTGCTTGTTTACATTTTCTCTAGGACTCGGGCCTCTTCTCCAGACACGCTCATTAAAAAAGACTCCCTACTCTTCTCTGGTCCTCTAAAAGTATTTCCCCTTACCATTCCTCATCCACCTTCTCTCCAAGAGGCGAAATCCCACCCCAAGCAGTATTTACTACTTTGCAGAACATTAGTATTACCTATAGGACCTCTTCCATGCCCTTCCCACCTGGGTCTCAGTTGACTCACCTTTCTAGTTAGTACCTGGATCATCTTTACTCTGTTGTATGCAGTAAAGTAGTTCCTCAGTTTGGGTGTTTATGAAGTATACCTGTCTTCCAGGCAACCGGGGGCTTCTTTTTGAGGTTGGAGATGCTGCTGAGGGCTTAGACCTGACTGAAGCCACCCCTGGGTACCGGTGGCAGATTGTCCCTAACGCCAGTTCTCCATTTGGATTTTGGTCAAAGGAAGGGCAACCTTTCAGGTATGTTGTAGGAAAAGTGAGAGTCCGTGTCGAAAGCATCTTTAGGAGACAGATAAGTAAACTATGAGGTTTCCAGGATAAAATTTATAATGTCCACCAATTTCACAACAGAGTTTGATCATTGTTATTTACTGGTGTTGTTCATACTAATGTACCACAGGTCTTTTATAGGTACATGCTAAATTTAAAGAAATATATTTTGTACATCTACACAATGGAATACTATGCTGCGGTAAAAAAGAAGGAACTCTTGCCTTTTGCAACAGCATGGATGGAACTGGAGAGCATTATGCTAAGTGAAATAAGCCAGTCAGAGAAAGATAAATACCACATGATCTCACTCATTTGTGGATTATAGAGAACAACATAGACTGATAAACAGGGACAGATCCAAAGACAGAGAAACATCAATCAGACTATCACTCCCCAGAGGGAAAGTAAGGGAGGGAGGGGGTAAGGGGAGGAGATCAATCAAAGGACTTGTATGCATGCATATAAGCCAAACCAATGGACATGGACAACAGGGGGATGAGAACATGAGTGTGGGGGGGGGGGTTAATTGGGGGGATAAGGACACATTTGTAATACCTTAACTAATAAAGAATTAAAAAAAAAGAAATATATTTTTATTGATTTCAGAGAGGAAGGGAGAGGGCGAAAGAGATAGAAACATCAGTGATGAGAGAGAATCATTGATCAACTGCCTCCTGCACGCCCCACACCAGGGATGGAGCCCACAACCTGGGCATGTACCCTGACTGGGAATTGAACCATGACCTCCTGGTTCATAGGTTGACGCTCAACCACTGAGCCACGCAGGCTGGGCAGGTGCATGCTAAATTTTGAACAATAGATAAATTTCATACTTGATACAACTTAGTTTACAATTTGATTTGGAGATGACTATTAATTGGCATATTGAGTTGAGTAGGCTAAGAGACTTAAGCGAGAGCAGGGTAAAATTTGCTGCGGGTACGTGTTTAAGACATGAAACTCACATTCAGATGATGCTGAAGAAAGACGCCAGCATTTTCCCATTGGTCATATGAGGGAGCAAAGGCTGGAGCCTTAGGAGACATTGTTTTCAGTAGTAGTGACTGCAATGTGATTGTGGCTTTGAATCTTTTTAACCCCTGCAAGGATATTGCCAAAATTTCTGGTTCTCCAAAGTGGGCTTAAAAGTATAAAAAAATGAGAATTTCTTAGACATGCTGTTTCCTTAATGTACTCCCAATGTATATATAGAAGCATAGATCCTTACTGTGTTATCCTTTATTCTTTTGATCCTTACTGTGTTATCCTTTATTCTTTTGAGAGAGGTTGGTCATGACCCTGAGTGTGAATTGGAGCCATTCTCTGAGCTCCTCCAAGGATTTGGCCATATTCATTGTTAATTCAGTTGTGGAATGAAAAGCTTTTTTCCCTGTTCAGGGAATTTCAGACATTGAAGAAGCCAAGTAGGAGGGAAATCTGTGAACAGAATAGAGTTTCTGTTGTCCTGGAAGTCTTACTAACTAGGTATTTAACCACCAATATATGGTTTTAAAGTAGCAATAATTTGTGGTCCTTTATGGCACCTAATTCATCTTTGTTATCCTTTTTGAGGCCCATCAATGATGTTCAAAGGAAACCTTTTAACTATAGTTAGTGTGTGGAGTGGTAAGGAGAGAGTCAAACCACCTCAAAAGACGACCTATAGGGTATGTCTCTTTAACTGCTATTTTGAGGAGCCATAAACCAGAGAGTAACTCTTCTTCTATGTCATTAATTTCTTTAAAATTCAAAAATGTTAAGAATTGGAATATTTATTAATTGATAAATTAATTATATTGATGGACCTTTAAAATAGTTATTTTCAAAACTATTTCAGAATATACTTTAAAATATATATATTTTTTATTGATTTCAGAGAGGAAGGGAGAGGGAGAGAGAAACATCAATGATGAGAGAGAATCATTGATCTTCTGCCTCCTGCATGCCCCATACCAGGGATCAAGCCTGCAACCTGGGCAAATGCCCTGACCGGGAATCGAACTGTGACCTCCTGGTTCATAGGTTGACACTCAACCACTGAGCCATGCTGCCTGGGCTCAGAAAATATTCTTGATATTTATTGGGGTAGTGTAATAATTTTCTTATCCATATCTGTCTCTAATACTAGGTCACTAGAACTTATATTAAACATTGTAACATTGCTTGCTATCTGATGTATTCTAATTTGAGATCGCTAACATGTTCAATTGACTCTTCTCTGTGGACAGTAGCCTTTTTAATTGGGAAAAAAGACTCTTTGCAGGTATTGGGGTATCTGGTAAGCTCAGAGCAAATACTTTTGGTTTTGTGTGTGAAATATTACCTAATTAGTAAACCCCCAAACAATTGAAAACAATTTACTGACCACCTAGATTCAGTACTGTGTTAGAAGGTCTCGAACAAGGTCATCGTCCTTGTGGAGTGACCACCCTTGTCACACACATGTACAGCCAAAGAGCAAGGCAAGATGGCATGCACTGAAATTCCTCAGTGTACCCACGTGTGTGTCCTGATCTTCTCATTCAGTTCACTTGATACATATTGAGTTATTGCCATGTCCCAGGCCTTCTAGGATCAATGACTTCATGAGACACAACACTGAGGAAGTATTTCAGAGTTAGTTTGCAGATGAGGAACTGTGGTCTCCAGTAGGTAAAGTGGTTTTTCTAATATTGCACAATTATCAAGTGGCAGAACCAAGTTCTGAATTTTTCTGACTTCAAGGCCTATAATTTCTCCCTAAATTCACCTAAGCCACATTAGGGCACATGTCCCTCTTTCCCCATGGGAATATGGTTTTTAAAAGGACACACCTACATGTCAAACCCTACATAAATGAACACCTGTGTCTAGGAAGTTAATGTCTGCACGAGGGAGAGGAAATGGAGTGAAGTCCCTCTTGATATCTATCATTTTGGGCCATTTCAGGTCTATCACTTTACTCATAAAGAAATGCACAGTGTTGTCTAGAAGTCAAGATTATTTGGGAGGAAACATTCTAGCTAATGTATGATTATCCCCATACACAGCTGCACAGACTGAATGTAAGGTGGCTAATGTGTGACTTCAGCCAGAGGGGTGATCTAATATAGCTTGTGACATATGAATGTGCTAGAGATGGAGACAAGGAACAAGGGTTCCAGATCAAGTCAGAGCAATTCCTGATCAGTGATCTCCCCTTCTTTCTAATAATAAGAATAATGTTTACTATTGATTGAGCTCCTACCAGGGACCAGACCCTGCACTGCTGCGTGAGGTAGGTTCTCAGCGAAGCCTCCAGACAGCCTGATGCTGGGGCTTCCACTTTCCCAAAGAGGATGTGACTGCAGGGGAGCTGTGGCTGGTGTGAAAGGATGGGTTGAGATATTGAGACTAGTTGGGCGCCACAGCTGTTTCCAGAGTACAGTGGCCAATCCCGTGGCACAAAAGTCAAGGGTTTCTTCCTCATTACCACAAAGAAGAACAAAGTACAGGCGGAACCACTCGCTGGGTCAGTGATTCGGGCCTTGGTTGCTTTTGCTTGACCCTGCGTTCCTCTGCGTTACAGAGCACGGCTCAGTGGGTTCTTTGTGGCCCCAGAAACAAATAATTACACTTTCTGGATCCAGGCGGACAGCCAAGCTTCCCTGCATTTCAGTCGGTCAGAGGATCCCAGGACCAAGGTATTCGCCTTTTCTCATTTTCCTTTTCCTGTCCCCAGTCCTTCACTCATAAAAAAAAAAAAATAATAAAAAATCTAAAACTAAAACTCTCATGTTCTACAAATAGTTGTAACACACCATTAGGCAAATATAGAGTCTTTTTGATGGGGGGAGGGGTTCATTAGAAACGTTTTTAATTGAGGTATAATTGACATGCTTTTAATTGTTGAAAACAAATTTGGTTGAGTGTGTTGGCACCTACTGTTTACTGAGCACTTCCTGTAGGCTGGGCATTATGCTACATTTTTTATATGCCTTGTCTCTAATTTTCACAGCATTTCTGTGAGCTATGTCTATTTATTTCTATTTTTCAGATAAGGAAATTGGGAGTTAGAAGGGTTGTATGGTCAATCCAGGGCCACTTGGGATCACAAGAGCCGTATGTAGGATTCAAACCCCGATTTTTCTGACTCCAGAGTTTGCGCCTTGCCCCCTAATTTTGGGTAGGGATATAATCAGTCTTCTGTAGGAATTTCCCCATCAGTTTTGAAGGGTAAGAAAAGGTGATTTTAACAAACAGCCAAATTCACTAGTGCCATTGATAAGGAACCAAAAGATCTCTTTTCAAGTTATTAACATGCTTCTATTAAATGAAGCATATTAATTGCTAGTTGGCTAGAGGAATATTATAGATTTTGATGTGATCACTCCTTCTACATTTCTTGAAGGGCTTGGTAGTGCTTTATCCACAGCAGCACCTAAACACAGGGTCTCAGGCTGGCTGTTCCATGCAGCCTCTCCTCAATACTATTCAATTGAGAAAAAGAGGGGGAAGGAGGGGTGCAGAAGCATAAACAGCCACAAGCCTCACTGTGACTTGGCTAACTAGTTGGAAAAGGCAGACCAGTCCTCAGGTCCTTGTTAATAACTGACCAGACACTTGTTGTTGGAGAAGGAAATACTCAGAAGCTCCACAGTGCTGATCGTGATATGTTTATTGGGGCACAGGTGAAGGTGGCCTCCATCAGGGTGGGCACTGCTGACTGGTTTGACTCCTGGGAGAATGGGAATGATGAAGGCACCTGGCAACGGAAGTCCCCCAAGTTGGAGCTGCTCGGGGGAGCCAGGTACTACCTGGAGGCAGAGCAGCGTGGGAGAGCCCCCAGCGGGGGCATGAGAATTGGTGTCCAGATCCACAACACCTGGCTGAATCCCGATGTGGTCAGCACCTACCTGCGGGAGAAGCATCAGATCCGAATCCGCGCTCGGAGACTTCCGGAGATCCAGGTCTGCATCCCTTCCCAGTCCCATGGACTTAGGGTCAGGGCCTGAATTCCGGAAGGGATATAATGTTGCCTAGTGGAAGGATCACTGCCTGGGAGCAGAAAATTTGAGTTGTAATTATCACTCTGCTGCCAGAGAAATAGGATATGTATCCAATAGGGTTGTGAGGACGTTTAAAAAAATGCAAAGTCTTGTTATTGAGATGACTTTATTCATGGACTTAGTTTCAGGAATTTAAGGTCCAGATAAATATTCTTTTGGAAACTTACTCCTTAGAGAAGAGATGAGGTCCTCTGAACACCCACACCCACACCCACGTGTGCACGCTAAAGCATTTGCACCTGAGATTTCATAGCCTTTTGACTATGTTTTCCCTATTGGCTGTGTTTTCTAAGTCTACTTTGTAAAGGTCAAGGCCTTTGGGTCTCTCAGTTGTGCCCCATACTTTCATTGAATAATTTTGGTGTATTTTTGTTGTTCACTTTTTGGTGTACCAGGATGAGTCACTATGGACTCTGCTTTTTAAGTTTACACTCTAGTCGGAAAAAACACACATGTATATAAATAGCCACAAGAAAATAAAGAAAGAAAATCACAAGTGATATAAGCGGTTAAAAATAACAAGTGATATAAGATGATATATAAGTCATATATGAAAGCACTTACACTTTCTTACTCCATAATGAAAGTGTAAGGTGCCTGGCAGGGAATGTATTGGAAGCCAAGCTGAGATGGAGTAAGCCTCTGAGAGTGTGACATGCCATGTAGCTGCTTCTGCCTGCCAGGCCCCTGGGAGAGAGAGAGTGCTTGGGGAGAAGAGAGGAAAGTGGGCCATTCAGGGGCAATGTGTGTGGGCGGGGAGGGAGTAGCAAAGATAAATTGGGAGACAGACATGCACATTATTCCAAGGCAAGTTTTCATTAGGAGATAACACTTGTGTTCTCCAGATATTTCTAGATGATAGTTTAAAAATGGAAATTTTAATAAGAAAATAGCAAGCCAAGAAGTATGTTCTTAGATGACCTCTGTGGCTTGATTAGCACATGCCAGTAAGTCCTGTTACTCTTGACTTTTTAGATGCTAACTGTGTCTGGAAGTGGGAACTTCTTCCTTACTTGGGACAATGTCTCTAGCCAGCCTATCCCTGCAAATGCCACAGCCCATCAGGTGGGAACCTCCTTCAAACACGGAGAGGTGGGGGAGCCAGGGGTGGTCTTTATGTCCACGGTATAAACTCCTGGTAGCTTTTCTTTTCTACAGATTCAAACAGCCATTGAAGAGTTACTTGCAGTCAAATGCCAGCTGGAACCCTTTTCGGCTAACATCCTCCTCCGAGTTGGATTTGAAGAAGGTGCTGTCCCTGGCTTGACAAATTGTGACCCTCTTCTCCATCATTCTCTGTCTCTCCCTCTCCCCCCCCCCCCCCCCCCCAGCCCCCGCCTCTGTCTCCTTCTCTTTCTTTCTCTCTGTCTTTCTCATAAAATGGGAACAGTCTTCATTTCCTCTCCAAGGTGCTAATAGAGTCAAGGAAGATATGGAAACTGGATTTGGACACTGAGCGGCCAAAGGAGTGGCTACTTTCTTGGGAGGGAGCTGCTTGGTGTGGTGTCCTCCTGAGCTGTCTGATGAGAAGCCAAGGGTGCTGGGGAGTCAGAGTTAAGCATCACAGTGGGAAAAGACTTGCAAAAGATATAGGTGGGAAGTGGCAAGACAGTACAAATCTTGTTTAATTTAAATTGCATATTGAGTGAAGGAATTATTACATAAAACAGTAGTCTTAACAAATTATAAAAATGAAATGGTTTATTTTAAAAATACTAAGGCGAATTGAGTTGAAATTGACACTCCTTATCTTTTTACTTCTCAACAATTTTCCGTGTCATGGTACACATGGAAATGGTAGTCCCCCTTTATGCAAACCCCCAGTGAGTACATGAAACCTTGGATATACCATGTTTTTTTTCCTATACATACATACCTCTGATAAAGGTTATTTATAAATTCAGCAAGGAAGAGATTAACAGCCATAATTAATAATAAAATAGAACAGTTATAACAACATACTATAATGAAAGTTATGGGAATGTGGCGTGTCTCTCTCTCTCTCAAAATATCTTATTATACTGTACTCACCCTTATTCTTTTTTTGTAATGATGCAAGATGATAAAATGCCTAGGTGATGAGATGAAGGGCGGTGAATAATGTACGCATTATGACAGAACATTAGGCTACTGTTGACCATATTGATACTTTACTTAACAATCACTTTCCAGCTTCTCTTTGGCATATCGGAATGACCAGCATCACTACTCCTGCACTTTGGGGCCATTATTTAGTAAAACAGGGTTACTTCAACACAAGCACTGGGATCTGAGAACCCAGAGAGCTACTAAGTGACTGCCAGTGGGGAGCATCTAAGCTAGGGACTGTGTGAGATTTCATCATGCTATTCAGAGCGTGTACAATCAAAAACCTATGAGTTGTTTATTTCTGGAATTTTCCATTTAATATTTTTGGACCACGGTTGACTGTTGGTAACTGAAACTGTAGAAGTGAAACCACAGTAAGGGGACTACGTATATTTTCGATGCTCTAAGGGTGACAGAATGGATTTTTCATAGTTGGAGCCTGCAAACAGGGGGCTGCAGGGCATCCTAAGCCCTGCCCAGCTCACCCGAGGGCTGGGGGACCAATATCCTGGGGAACCCATAGCTTATGCCCTGCACACATGTTGGGAAGCTCTGTCTTTTTAACCTCTCCTCTGTCTTTTCATTTTATTTGAACTGCATGCAGGCCCAGAAGGTTCCAGCTTTGATGGGGACCTCACCAGTGGGACAGAGCCCTTCTGTGGGAGGTTCAGCCTCTGTCGGCCTCGACACCTTGTCCTCACACCCCCTGCTGCCCAGCACGGCTACCGGCTGGACCAGTACACACAGGTAGGGAGCAGCCCTCATGCTTCCAGCGAGGCATTGGTCTTCCTCTCGGGGGTTGAGATGGAGAAACAGAAGCACAAACGAGTGATTGCTGTGTTTGCTGTGATTTGCCTAACACGTTTCGGGCTGAGGTTCTCGGTTTCTTAAATGCTGTTCCAGGTGTGAACAGATGTCTCCAGTCCTCCATTAGCTACTTGTTACATAGAAATGCCTTTGTATTTGTGGGAGACCTATGGGAATTTTTATATGCTTTGTACAGGGGTGGGCAAAAGTCGGTTTACAGTTGTGATTATGCCAAACAGAAAGTTTATTCTTGTATTATTTATTGATTATTGTATTAGTTTCCATAATAACAACTCTAAACCGACTTTTGCCCCCTAGCCCCCTTTATTTTCTTTGCTCTTTAGGTATCAGTGCAGATCTCTAATCAGACTTTCTGGTTTTGAATTCTGACTCTATATCCTGTGTGCCCTCAACGTCTTACTTTACACATCTGAAAAATGGGTAATAATGTTGTCTATCTCTCAGGATTCGGGGGAAGATTAAATGAGGTAATCCACTGAAGTACCTGTGCAGTGGTTAGGACTCAGCAGAGGCTAGCTATTGTTTTTTTATTATAGTTATTATTATTGATGCATTGACTGACCCATTTCTTGAATCCCTCTTACATCCTTTGTGTCAGTGGCTCTGCAGTTCCTCAAATGAAGCCCATTTGCCCTGTGGGAACCAGGGTGAGCCTTGTTGGGGCAGCTGAGCTCATGGCAGTGGTTTTGTCCTGGCCTAGTTGAACGGCAGTGGGAACGGGACTGAATGGTTCAGGTTGGGGCACCACCCATCTCTCAGAAGCACTTCCCACACAGCAGAGGCTCCCAATGGGCATAATTTTGCCTCCTAGGGGAGAGTTGGCAATTTATGAGGACATTTTTGGTTGCCACAACTGGGTCATTGCTACTGGCATCCACTGGATAGATCTCAGCGATGTTGCTAAATATGTACATTGTGTAGACTAGACCCCTCACAGGAAAAAAAAATGCAATCCAAAATGTCAATAGTGCTGAAGTAAAAAAAATTCTGCTCTAAAGACTTTTTGAGCCAAATAATTTTACGTAACTCAGAGTTAGAAACCAAGGATGCTGGGGAGTTAGAGTCAAGGAATTGCAGATCAGAGAGGTTAAGTGACTTGCTCAAGGTTGCACAGGTAACCGGGTCAGAACAGGAGTTTTCTAATAGAGATCCTTTAAAATTGTCATTGCCAAACACAGTGCCCTTAATAACTTTTTTGGAAAATAGCAATTTACTCTAAATGATTTGTCTCTCCTGCTAGACTGGTAAGTTCCGGGAGGGCAGGAACTGGGCTGACTCTCTCACAGCGTGAGGCAGGGTTCTAGAGAGGTGGACTCGCCTCTCCACACATTGTTTGAATGGTTGCTTCCTGTACTGATAGAGCTGAAGCACTTATCTGGTGTCCACAGCTGTGCATTGCATACAAAGGCCACATGAATAAGACCCTGAAGGTGACCGTGTCTTTCACATTCGATCTTCAAAACATCATTAAGAACATCACCTGTGACTGGAGTCTCATCAGAACCAGTCCCGAAAGGTAGATAACCTGTGGGGAGTTGTGGGAATTCTGCCAACTGGGATGATTAGCTCTCTCGGGGACAGTGCCTCAGATACGAGCTAATTTGGGGCTCTGAACACAGATGTGGAAAAAATGGAGCCTGGAGAAGTTTGATGTAAAAACAGTTAGTTGTGAGGAATATAATCTTTCTAGAAGGAGTCTGACATTTCTCATAGAGTCACAGAACATAGTATTTTTAGAAAATATTCCTTGACATTACCGATGAGAAAAATGGGGTGGTGATTCACCCCATTTGGTGATTCAACAAAATTCGGCAAGTGAACAAGATTCTGGAATAAAATTCAAGCATCTCAATGCCTTGACTCAGTGCTCTTTCCAGAGATCTCTTATGGGTTTTGCAAGTGGTTTTAAACTAAATAGTCCTGTAATGTCCAGGAGTATTAATCTTCCTTGTCATTAAAGCCTAACATACTATCTGCCTGAGACACACACTTACATTGTATCTAGAGGCCCGGTGCACCAATTCGGCCTGGCCTGTGGGATCGGGCCAAAACTGGCTCTCCGACATCCTCCAAGGGATCCTGGATTGCGAGAGGGCGCAAGCCAGGCCGAGGGACCCCACCAGTGCACAGTCAGGGCCGGGGAGAGACGCGGGAGGTTGGCCAGCCAGGGAGGGACTGCAGGAGGGCTCCAGGGCATGTCTGGTCCGGCCTGTCCAATCGGCCGGACCCCAGCTGCAAACTGACCTAACGGTCGGAGCGTCTGCCCCCTGGTGGTCAGTGCACATCATAGTGAGCAGTTGAGCGGCCTTAGCATATCATTAGCATATTAAACTTTGGTTGAATGGCTGACAGGTTGACCAGATACTTAGCATATTAGGCTTTTATTATATAGGATTTGAAAAAGACTCCATGTCAGGAATGAATGATTGCCTTAAAATGTGATTCACTAATATGATAGCACAAGTTCAGCTTAACAGCCTGCCTTGGATGTTGTACCCAAGGCACACAAGACTGTTTGGGTGCTGGGGGTTCACGGGGTCCCTCTCCTGGCTACACAGTCCTCAGGCCCCCAGGTTGGAGAACGAGGGCTCTAACGGGAGGGGACTGTGGATGCACAGGGACAGGCCCATTTCTGCTGTGTGCTTGTTTTTCAGCTGGCGATTCACTTGCACTAACCTCTGGATGACTTGTGTGCATCGCTCCACGCATCTCCAGAGGCCTCTGGCAAACTCCCTGGTGCTGGTTCATCGAATTGACCTCTTCCCTCTGGCTCTGGAGACGGGCATGTTCTGTGTGGATGAAGTTATTATTGCAGACACAAACCTAACAGGTGATCATCGAATCCACTCTCTTCCATGGACCTGTCCGTCAAAGGCCGACCTTAAACTTTTCTGCTAGGGGCTGCTGTTATTTTAATGAAGAGGGAAGAGGTGATTCTCCATCTTGCCTGTCTTTTCCTAGAGAGAAGATGGGGTTGGTATTGTGTGCCCTTGGCCGCTATATTTCTCTAGCTAGTTCCTCTTTTTTTCCTATTCCCTGCAATGCTTGCTCCTGCTTCTGGTGGTTGTGCTGTTGCCCTGATTTTATTCCTTCCTTGCTGAGAAGCCTTGGTTTCCTCATCCATAAAATGGTCATATTGAGGTCCCTGCCTCATTGGATTAACTACAAAGATTAACTGAAGTGTAATGGAAAGCACTCATCACAGGTCCTGACCATAGTAAGTGTTCAATAAACATGAGCAATTATTATTACTTATTAACATTATTATTACTGTTAATAAGAAGTCCAGAAGGATTTCTTGATCTCTCTTTCAGTTAATATCTGTCATACAAAGTGCCGGAAGAACACAGCAATATCTGGCCACATAAAGGGACTAAAGTTCTGATTTATGACAGACTCAGTGAGAGCTAGAGGGTAACCAGGCCCTCATGGGAATAGCCTTGTCTTGTCCTTCCTTCTGCCCACCTAGATTCCTCCCCCTTGTCAGTTAGGGTTCAGGCCGGGCCTATTTCTCCACCAAGTCCTTTGTCCTCCCTTAGGCACAGTGATCTCACTGAGCTTTGCTTGTCCACAGGTCTTAGGGACAGAGTGCTCATCAGGGGACTTTAGACTGGCCCAGGATACTGCACACCCAGGGGAAGGGAAGCCCCCAGCCAGGCAGATGGTGCCACTGCTCCCAGGGCCTCCAGGCTTCCAAGTTCTTTTTATTCTCCATTTCCCATCACATCCTTGTGACTTTGGGGCTCAGCTTTCCTGCTTTAAGTAGCTTCTCTCACCCAGGAGAAGGGGAGGAAACAGTCATTTACATTTGATTTACAAAATGTGCAAGTTTTCAGCCTTTTGCCTGTAACATTGCAGAGCTGAGGGCAAGGGAACTTGGGGGTGCATGGCAAAGGTCTCTCTTTTAGCCCTGAAATTACGTTGTATTTGCACTCATCAAAATTCTGCCTCTTATTTGTTTTAGTGGTTTCAGTGTTTTGAGGGCATCTGGGTCAGACTGTGTCACTGCTTATTTTCAACCCTGCTTATGTTCTGGCACACAGAAAATAATATTCAAATGGTGTGCTTGGGTAACTGCCTGAATTCTTGGTGCCTAAGATACCGAGCTGGGCCTTTTGCGACCCTCAAGTGCTGCCCAGGTTCCTGGAGGCTGAGGGTCTCAATATTTCAGACACTTGAACTCCGTGATAGGGAAACTCAGGATTAGATAATAGTTGCCTTTCCCTTTTTTTTTTCTCTTCTCCTTTAAATGCTATCTTATACCTACAAACCTTCAAAGTGCAAGATCCAGAGCGCTTTCTCACTGCCCCCACCTCTCTGCCACCAAATGCTCCGCTATCTGGATCCATCCTAGGAGTGAGGTGAGGAGGGAAGCAGAGAGGAAGAGGGCAGAGACAAGAAAGAACATGGGTGGCTTGGGTAAAACCATGTTTCCTGCTTTGGCTAGTTAGCCTGCTGGTAACAACTTTGCTTTGAGGATTTTTTAATGGCAACATAAACTTGATGCAATTGGGCTCAATATTCAGAGTTAATTGTCCAACATTTATCTGATCAATTTAACACGATTATATTCTCCCATCTAAATGTCCTCTATGGAAGTTTTTCTCATCTAATGGTAGCTACCATTTATTTCTCATTTACTTCTTAGAACCCCATGAGGTGGTCCTAGTATTCCTACCCTATAGATGACAAAAGCAAAGCTAAGAGGGGCTGAGTATCTTGCTCCAAATCCACAGCCAGGACGTGGGCAACCATGGAACCCTGAGATCATTGATACCAAAGCCAAAACTTCAATGACTCCGTACCCAGCTGAGTGAATCCACATTTACTGAGCACCACTCTGTGCCTGGTGCTGTGCTAAGCATCGGGCATGTAAGCATACTGCCTTTAAACTGTTTCCTGTCTCATTGTATTGTCTTGGGGAAGAAGCTATGTTCTTCACAGCGCCTAGTAGGAGGGGAGGAGAATATTGAATTACATTGTGCTGGTCATTTAAATCTGCCATCTCACTAAACTCTCCCTGCTGTGCAGGCTGGTATATGTCGTGATTCCCATCTTAGAAATGAGAAAATGTCTTAGGTTAGTTTGATTAGCCAAGTGGTAATCCAAGAGAAGTGGAAAATCAGGATTCCAACAGTGGTCTGTCTCAAAGTGTGCACCTTTCCTGCTCATGTGCTGACTCTACACTGTGGATAAATAGTAGGTACCCCAGTACGTGCCTCGTGTGTTCAGTCTTCCTAAGGAGGATCTGCTGGCCATTCCTGGAGTTGCCAGGGAAAAGAAAGGAGGAAAGGGTGGCCATCCACACTGTGGTAGATTATCTGTGTGCGGGTCCTCCTGTGGCACAGGGAGTGATGTTTGGCTTACGTCGCCTTGAACTTTGCTGTGAAATCAGACTTTGTCTCCTTACACCATGACCTTGCATTTTTTTGTTGCTACTAAACTCCTGCCTCTTCTCACTGTGCTTTGCATCCAGCAGAGGGAGGGAATCTCAGCTTTGAGTGTGTGCTGAGATCTAAGTAACTCAGCATCTCCAGTGGGGCCTTTCCTCACAGCTGGTCTTCCACCTTGAGTTACTTGATAATAATTGGATCGTTGCTCTCCAGTTTCTCAGGCTGATTCTGGAACAGCTCGCCCAGGTGGGAATCTGGTGGAATCACTCTCTGTGGTGGGATCCCCTCCAGTCTACAATGTAACCTCCTGGTTGGCAGGGTGTGGCTCAGAGCTCCCGCTCATCACTGCAAGGTAAGGAGCTGTCTTTGTTCACCGGTCGCTCCTTAGGATTGCTAGTTGGTCCTGGAGGACACAAAGGTGGGACTTTTATTAGGAAAAGTCACCCATCTTGTTGCTTAAAGCAGTGCTTCTTAGTCTCAAGAATGCAGTATCAGACACCTGGAGGTCTTGTTAAAACATAAATCACTGAGCCCTAACCCCACCATCTTTAATTCACTGGGTATCAGGCAGGGTCTGAGAATTTGCATTCTCAGTGGGTTCCCAGGCAATGCTGATTTTACTGGTCTGGGGACTACACTTCAAGAACTAGTTCCTAGAGAATTTGTTTAAAAGTAGTTGTATGTTTATGCTCTTCAGAGGCTCACATTGCCTCCATTTTCTGTTCACACCCCTCCTTCCATTTCTCATACATTAATATTATTGGAATTATTTGAGGCTAAATGCAAGTCTATAGAACAGTGGTTCTCAACCTTGGCTGCACATTAGAATCACCTGGGAATCTTTTTAAAATCCTGGTTTCTGGGCCTCATCCTCTGGAAATTCTGTTTCTTTGTTATGGGGTGGGGCCACAACATTAGTAA